AATACTTTATAGAAAAAAATTCTTTGTCATCTTGATTTCTCATTATAAAATGATTATAACACTCATTAAGAGTATTCACGATAGATAGAATAAACGGCAATAGAGCATCATTAGATTACAGAGGTGCAGAATCTTCCAAAAAACCAAAAATTTCTACCTCCGCGGAATTTATTTTTAAAAAATTTCCTAAGTTAAACTTCGAAAACCTCCCCGCGCGGGGGCGCACGAGCAAGATTCTACATCTCGGTTAGATTATTTGTTTATATTTACTTTTTTTGCTGGTAACCATTGTCTAGCTGAACCCCTTTCTTCAACATCAAATAGTCCCAAAAAATCTAATTCATGTTTTAATAATAATAAACCAGCTATACTCGATCGTATTGTAAAAGTTCTAAAAACAAAATTTCTTCATAAAAACAAATCTCAAATCATTTCTTCTAACATACTCATGTTCATCAATTGACAGTTCTTTTTTTATATATGCTAATTCTTCATTTGAATTAAATGAAAAGGCTCCTGCTAAATTTGTTCCACTTATATCTAATGAAAGTAATTTCGGTAATGATCTGATTAATTTTGCTAAAGTTATTGTTGGTTTTGAATAATTATGTGGTTCATGTACACGTCTTGTAAATGATAAATCAAGTAAAACTAATGCTTTTAAAGTACATATTGAATCAATTGCTAATTCAATTGTATCAGGTAATATATCATAGAGTATTAATGAATGTATATGTTTAAAACAATCAATATATGTTAAATTATTTAGCGATGAATTTCTTGATAAATCAAGAAAACGTATTTGTTCACTTGATTGTGTTAATGAATTATGAAAAAGCTCTTCAATTAATTCATTATTTGTTGTTGTATAAATACCTTCTAATGAAAGATATTTTAATTTCGATTTTTTTAAATAATATTTTGGATCGAAATAAATTTTTAGAAAAAATTCATCGACATTTGAATTTCTATCAGAAACATCTTCTGTTTGACCAATATATAATGTTGTTAAACGAGGAAAATATTTTGTTAATAATTGAAATATTTTATATGTTATTTTACAATTACGTAAATCAATAATTTCAATTAATTCATGTGATAATAAATATTTTGATATGGATTGATTGGTTATAAATGAACATGAATGAAAATCTAATTCACTTAATTGTATAAGTACTTCAGATCTAGATGAAATGAAAAAGGAAAAAGAAAAAAAATATATTTTAATTAAATCATTTGAAATTGTATGTTGAATTAAAAATTAA